AATAAATCATTATGTTTACAAATGATATCTAGCGAAGGTTCCTAAACTACTTGTATATACCATTTTGATTTGATTTGTCTTTAATACTAGTAATTAATCACAAGTAATAATATTCTTAATACTTGTGATTTTGTTCAAATCGCATGTTGAACTATTTTAACATGCCAACCGGACTCTGTAGTGGTCAGGGAGCTGACTTCACATCAGAAAGGTCCTGGGTTTGACTACCGGACAAGGCATGGATGTTCTTTCATTCTCTGTACCATTTGTCTTTACTGTGTGAACAACGTTGGCCCACCAATTATGATGCCCCTGAAAGAGTGGCCAAAAAATCTGCCCAAGTGTCAATCGAGTGGGCAATAAAAATAAAAAACTATTTTCACAATGTGTATTTGCTCATTTTAATTGTAAGCCCAAGTGGCTTTTCAATCATTTTTCCAGTAGTCATGTTTGCGGATATGCATGAGGTCAAGAAAATTCTATACAATCCCGATGTTTTTAATACGATATTATATTATATCTTGCGAGTTTTTAATCAAGTACTTAAATACTTTTTGACGTGCTTCATTTTTGCGAAATTCACTCGATACAGAGTGAATTTCTTGAGCGCATCTTTCCATGGTCGCACTACAGCCCATAGAAAGCTTCTGTTTTCAGACTATAGTCTTCACACTAACTTCATTTATTTTTGGTAGATTCCACCCTCTCCTTCGCCTACAGTGGAGTTTTTCGCATACTAGGCACATTTTCTCTATAGTATGTGTTTAATTAATTTTCGAAAATAACATATTTTCTAACTATTCTTTTTTCTTATTAAATTTCTAAATTGCACCAAATTTTTGAAAACGACTTAACAAATAAAAAAATAAAAATCTTTGTAATTAGTTCTGAAGCTCAATACATAATTTCATAGATAAATCATATAATTTTATGCACGCAATAATATAGTTTATTGCTTGCATAAAATTATATGATTTATTAAGACTAGTATAGGATTTCAGATTTCACTTAATTTATTACAAAGCGGTGGTATTATGGATGTGGTAGAAGGGTTTTTAGATTTTAGTTTGGTACGCGGATATAAACTTCATCTTATTCAAGATTGCTGGAAGTTGCCCAGAGTAATTAATCAAAGGAGACTTAAAAGTGATGGTGCCTTGAAAAACCTGTTTTTTAAACCTTAATGATTGTACTCATTAGAATTATAAAGTCATTTAGGTAGATACTTTAAAAGAACAAGATAGATAAATGTATGGTAAACACCTTGTAAATTGTTTCTACTATGAAATTATATTACAATATGATATAGGAAAGAAAAAAAAGATTACATGCGTAACAAAATTACTAAAGTAGTTAAAATCGATAATGTCTTAGTTAGAAGAAAATGTTTTAGAGGACATTTGAAACGAATGATCAACAGGTTTTGCAGACCTCTAATCACTATATTGCCGAAAAATAACATATAGGGTAAATTATTAATTTTATAAAAAGGAGTTTTGCCCTCAGAGAAATCATGTTCGTAAGAAAATTTGCAGTTTAAAATGTTTTGCATATAAATCTTATAATTCGCCTTGAAGAATTTATGGGCTTCTTGCTGCCACTACAACATTTTGCTACAGCTGATTTTTACCTCTACTGTTAAAACTGTTGAGAATTTAGTTACGCAATTTCATTATTTTCCTTTTAGCTCTTAGACTATATTTCTTAATTCAATATTACAAGCAAACAATTCTTTTTTTTTAATTTTTAGTTATTAACCAAAATTTAATTGACAAGCGTAACACACAGATTTATTATTCTGTTCCTTAAATTGAATGCAGTTTTGAAATTTTTAGTTAATTTTCTGATTAATATAAACCAGAGACAACAACACGTCCGCGCTTTAAATGAGTGCAAGTAATTGCTTCAGTCAGTTCTGTTATTACTGGAAGCCCAAGCCAATGTACCTCTTTTGCTTCAGTTGGATTAATTTATTAAATACTATATATATTGTATAATATATTGCTCCAGCTAAATAATGCATAGTATTTATATATAATATGAAAAAAATTAAAACTGACATGATAGCATTTGATGTTTTGAAACCTAGGTTAGGCAAAAAATATGGGCGTATGGTATGAAGAAGGTTGTTTATCTCCGCCAAAAACATTTCCCCACCTTTTTATGTAAAAGAAGAGAAAAAAAAATAATCCATGAAATTGTGTATCAAAGAAAGTAAAAATATTTTTTTTTTCTTTTAAAAAAAAACATCAAATCAAACCTACGCCATTTGCAATGAACATCTTTATAGGCCATTTTTTTCCCTTCTTTTTCCAAATAAGATTACATTTCTAATAAAAGCAACTGAAGTAAAACGAATATAAAAAAAAATTAAACTAAAGTAGAAAAAAAAGAAGAGGATGAAATGATCATTCTTAAATGATGATATCATTCAGTGAATAATCAACTTTAAGATGTATATATTCATCAACAGTTTAGAATTTTTGTTTTCTTTTTTTAAGTCCGAATAATTCCTCTTAAATGACCTCCATTTAGGCACACATATAAAGCGATCTTCCATCTGGGTGGCCCATTCTCCACCCTCAATCACTGTCAAACAACTCTTTCGTATATCCTCGAGGCCATAACAACGCTTCATTACCTTTTTCGTTTACAAACACAGATAACAATATGTCCTCCTGTCTTTAACAACTGCATTTTTGAGACAAATGAAATGACAAATAATTTACAAATTTAAAAAGTATTCTAATTATCGTGATTAGAAAGTAATTAAATAAAAAAAATTCATTATAAACAATTGAAAATTATAAAATGCATAATCACATACAATTACATAATATACAAACATATTTATGTTCCCGCCAAAGCTCAAAAGTCGCTACTGTGCACATTACCTAGCTGATTTGCAAAGTGTGAAATCAATCGTTTTCTGCACTTATCGTTATGCAATCGTTTTCTGCATAGATATTGTGCTCATTAGGTTCTTCCGTATCGTTCAAGCGTTTGTTTTTCTTATTCCATCAACTAATTAGTTTATTGTTTAGACTTGGTTCTTAAGATATCAGAAAATAGATATGTGATATTATTTTAATTTTCTTACTTGAAATAATAATTTAAATCGTTTGATTCTTGGTATTTTAGTTTTAAAAGTGTTTGATGATTAGTTCTATCAACATAATAAGTTAATTATTTGAATGTACATTGGTTTCTTTTTTTTATAACCGTTGTTGAACAGCCTACCCAATTTTATGGGTTTACGATTATTAATGTTCAACTTCGTAGCCTTGTAATTTTGAACCCAATTTAGAACACAAGGGAACTCCTGGATCGAGTATTGGGAGAAATTTGCCCTCGTGGAGGACATTTTGATGGAGCTAACCCACATTTGCGTTACATGGAGAAGAAAACCACGAGAACCTCCCACGGTTAACCTGACGGCAAGGGGACTCTAACCCATGATCCGTTTACCACTGAGGATATTTCACGTCAGCACTGTGGTCGGTGCAAGGTGGATGCGGAATTCGTATCGACTAGGATTCGAACCCGGTTCACCTCATTGGAAGGCGAACGCTCTATCCCCTGAGCCATCGCGGCTCCAATGTACATTGGTTATCATAAATTAAGTTAAAATTACAGAAAAGACCATAACGGAAAAAACATTACGCATAGAATTTACTGAAACTGGCACATATTATGGAGCACGTAATAATGTATAAAGTAACATAAAAAGTATTAACCAGAAAATTATGCTCTACAGAAATTAGCATATGCATGAAATTAATAAAATTCTAGTTTCCCGAGCAAAACACAGGCAGCTGCAGATTGCTATCTCCTTCTATTTTTCTTTTGTCTCTTCGCTCTTTCAATTTTTCTAATTTCTGTGTTCCCAAATAAATACACTTTTAGGGCTGAAAACTAATATTTAAGCAAAGAAAAATAAAAATAATTCTTACCAATCACTACAAATAAAAACTGCACAAAATATCAAAACCTGTTTGATTGCCTGATGAAATTTGCATATATCTCTAATAACTGATTGATATTTCTATAAAATAAAAAGAAATTTGTGTGTTTCTCTCCGGCAATCAAATGTTATTAGTTCTTTTTAATTAATTAATTGCTGTCTAACTTATTTTTAGAGACTGAAACTCAACTCAACTGTATTTGCACTGCAAAAAATGTTTTTTGAAGAATGATTTCTTAGAATAATCACAACATATACTAATTGAGACAAAAAAGAAAAGAGTCTGCAAGTATACTCATAATATTTTATATTCATAATTAGAGACTTTACTTTACATTTATGTATCGTTAAGTAATTTGACTTTGGACCCCAAACTATTGCTGGCCAATTCTCATATAGTTTATTTTTCTTTAGGTACCCTATAAATTTTTTTAAAAATTATTTAGTGTTAAAATTTCTATTTTTATTATCATCAGCATTATATTCCTTATTATCAAATTTTAAAAAGTTAATTAAAAATTTCTTTTCTAAAAGATATCTTAATAGTTTTCTAAATGTGTATAATTAAAATAAATTGAAATGCATAAAATAAAAATTATCATTAATATTCAAGTCATTGGTTTTTGCTACTAAAGTGATAATTTTAAAAGTAATTAAGTTTATTTTTTATTTTTATATTAAATTGTTCGGTATGAAAATTATTTATAAAAGTAGTTCGACTGATCTAGTTTCTATTAGAATTTATTAACTATTTATTTTATTAATTATTTTCTAGGCGAAATGTGAAAATATGCTTTTATTTAGAATTATTTAGAGGAAATACAGGTTTCTTCAATAAGAAAAGAACTATTTAATTCATCAGCATAGCATAATTAAGCCACTTTATGAGCTATAATTCAGGTAAACAATGGGAAACATTTCATTCTTAATTTTTCCCGCCTCTTGATTTAATAAGGTGTTAAAATCTCGTACTTTTCCCTTTTATCATTAAAATTTTCCCTGCGTAGGGACTTTTCTTCCCTTAGAAAAGAAGAAATCAACGGATAACAGACAACAAAACGTAGTTCCACGGTGATGAGTATATTTTGTTCGCATCCAAGATCGGAAAATCGAGGGAAGTAAAGATATGATAGAAAGAAAGCGCATAACAGGAAAAGTGCCAGGTAGTAATTTTTCATATTTAAAGAATTTCTAGCACTTATTGTTTTCATAAATGACGTTTTTTTAGGATAAAAAAAACTTACAAAATGGTATATTTTTAAAGTTTAACCATTGTTTTGACCATTAATGCAAATATTTGATAGCATATAAATAATTAGAGTAATAAAATAACTCACATGCGAAATAATAATAAATGTAAATTAATAATAATAAAAGTAAAATAATATGATATAATAAGGTAAAAGGTTGGTAAGATTTTCATAATTTTTAAAATAGTCATTTTTCGTAATCTTCAGTGATTTTTTTGCAATTATTATTTGAATATTTAAGATAAAAAGTAACTTGAAAAGTGGTATGATTTAAATGTTTAACAGTTGTTTTTACTAGTTGCTTTTACTTTGTTTTTACACAAACATTTGACAGTATACGATAATTATATTAATGAATAAAAATAAAATAATGATAATAATACGATGTGATAGGAAAAGAGCCTGTTCATATTTTTTAAAACGGTCATTTTTCATAATCATATTCAATGCATTTTTCGTATTTATTTATTTTCATAAATTGAGATTTTTAGAATATAAACTTAAATAGCGATTAATTTTCAAATGTTTAAACACTATTTTTACTAATACAAATAGTTAATACTATATACTATAATATAGCACTAATAATTAAATTATTGAAATGAAGTCGTATTAGAATGAATTACAAAAAATAAATATCAGTAAAGGGAAATAATAAGAGAGTGTTACGGTGCAAGGTTGGATGTTACTAATTTTTGAAATGTTCATTTTTAATATTCGAAGAATTTTTGTAATTATTTTAACAATTTTAGTTTTTTTTTTCAGATTAAAAATTAAAATTGTGGTAAATGTGTGTTTTAGCATTATTTTTACTACTTTGCCATTTGATTTTTCTTATCTAAATAAAATATTCTATCTAAAAATAATTTTAGAGCGAATTCAAAACTTTATCATTTGCAAAATCTGAATGCCAAGTTTTCCTTTAGATTAGGAGAAAAATCTTAGCACGTAGTTAAGATTTCAAAAACTGTTCATGATACTATTGCTTGATTTGCACGAATATTTATAACAATGTAGCAACAGTTTTAGTCATTATCTTCCAAAATCTGAAAATTGTTTCAACATTTTATGTATTTTATAACCGGTGAATATTTTATTTCGCAACCGACGTTGAAACCGGCTTTGAGCGACCTACCCAATTCTGAGTTAACGACGTCCAATGTTCAACTCCGTAGCCTTGTAATTTTGAACCCACTCCAGATGACAAGAAAACTCCTGGATCAAATATAGAAAGAAATAAGCCTTCGTGGAAGACTTTTTGATGGAACTAATCCGCATTTGCATTACATAGAGATGAAAACCTTCCACGGTTAGCTTGACAGCAAGGGGACTCTAACCCAAGGTCCGTCTACCACTGAGGATATTTTACGTTAGTGCTAGGATCGGTGCGAGCCGTGTGCAGAATTCGTATCGACCAGTCATCGCTGGGATTCGAAATTAGGTCACTCGATTGGGTGGTAAAAGGCGAATAAGGGAAATGTGAAATTCATTGATTTTAGTAATTCATTTATAGGAAATAAATTAGTCCTAATTGAAAATTGAACTATAAATCGCCGAAATTAAATTGAACTGTAGTAACGAAAAAAATCTGCAAAATAGCGCATGAAATTTGTGACGAAAATTATTTTTTAATTGAATGCTAATATGACAAAATATTAAGACATTTCTTTAAGCAAATAAATGCCAAACTAGTATGGGGATCACTACTCACTGAAAAATTAAAACTTTTCTGTTGCCAATGCAAAATTGAAAATTTTATTAGGAGTACGCAAAATGAAAAATGAAACTCCTTAATAACTTCTGATCTAATGAATGGTTTGTCACGTAATGATGTTCAACCTTAAAGATTCGAGGGAGAAAAAACACTTAAATGTACTAAATAATTAGCGCAGACACTATTTTAAACTTCGAAATCAGATGTAAAAGCGCATTTTCTCTGAACAAACATATATATGTATATTTTCTTCGGCTGATTTGGATTTTTAACCTGAAAAATATAGAAGTTAGTCGCAATCTCGATGTAAGATCCGAATTGTTTGGTTCGGAAAGTTGTCGAAAGTTTGCACCCCTTAAAGTTAAATTCACTCTCTGCGTATTTTGCCCTATCTCATTAACTATCAGAGCGAATGCGAACGCTTTACACAACAATCGTAAAACTCGTTTATCCAAAAGCCATTCCTTTAATAAAATAATTATTATTGATTTTGAAAATTGTATAGGATATTTATTATTTAATTTAACAATGTTCAAACTGTGAGCTATACAAATTTTTACACTGTTTTGAACTATGTAATTTTAAATGATAAAATTAAATATCAGTAGGGAATTGAACGACTCTTTTCTGTAAAATAAAAATTTTAAAATATGATATAGCTAAATACACAAAAAAGTGAAATGATCTTTAAGAAGTTCAAACTTTTAACCGCTCTCCTGGCCAAACAATTTGGACCATATTTCGCAGATTGCGGCTACCCCCTATATTTTGGGATCTCGATTCATAATTCGCCCAAGAAAAGGCAAGTTAATTCAAAGGAGGTACGTTTATCTGATTTTTTTAAAACTTAAAATATCATTTGCAATGATTAATTAGCATAGTTCAGGTAAGGACTTCGAACTTATGCATTTTCATTTTGATAAATTATAATCTAATCCTTAAATCAAAAGTTGTAAGGTGTTGTGCTTTTGTTTTGCGCAATGTTACAATGCACAAAAAGATATATATATATAGAATTAATAACTTTTGATTTGAGGTTTGGATTTTCACGATCTAGATTTAATGGTTCAAGCCTCAAGCTAATGAGTGACCTCAAATATACTTATTAGTTAATGCAGAAGATATTTTCAGTTCAAATCAAAACACAAAAATGTACTTCCTCTGAAAAAACATACCTTTTCTTCGACGAATTATGATTCCTGTCCCCCAAAATATGCCGTAATCTGGTAAAACTGTCTCCAAGTTGGTTCAGGAGGGCAGTGGAAAGTTTGAACCCCTTAATCTTAATTTTACTTTTTGCGTATTTCGCTATATCTGGAGAACGTATTAACTGAACTGAAAAAAAAAATTCAAACTATTATTTTGGTTATTATATACAATAACTGCAGAAAATTTCGTAAACATAGCTTAAATATTTATGGAGATTTGGACATTTTTATAACAAACACATTTTTTTGTCTTACTTTGAAAATATCATATAACTTTGTAAATATTCAATAAAATTTAAAAAAATTTTGGATCCATTTGAAATTGATCTCAAAATTATTGCTTCAAAATTTCAGAAATCGCGCAATACATGAGTTATTAAATTAGTTTTTTGTATAATGCCATGCTTGGAAAAAAAATGCGAAACTTTTTTTCAGAATGAATGATTTTGTAATAAATCGAATTTGGCAACTAATGAAAAATGTCCAAATTGATTTGAATATCTGAAAAATTTAAAAAGTTTCAAGCAAGTTTATAAGTAATTTTCTTACTTTTTAAGAGAAAGTTAAAAATTATAATACTAAAAGAAAACATAAATATTTTTAATTCTAAATAGATAAAACTTCTTTGAAAACAAAAATAATTTATTTTTCTGATGATTTTGTTTGAGTTTCTTTTCTTAATTTGTTATTTGTATTTCATGTTTTTTCCTGAACTTCTATACAAAACCATCGGAGTACTGAGGTTAATTTAGGCATTTGCTTCTCCCTCAATTAGAAATGGTTTTGTTTTTATGGCTACCGGGCCGGTACCCCCTGAAGACGTCGGCTTCGGTGGTCATATTTTTATTTTTATTTCCTTCGTTTCCTTTATTAAAAATCATAAAGGGTTTTCCGCAAATTTCCTTTTGCACTATTAAACAAGATTTATTAAAAATGAAATCGGTATTGTTGGGGATCATCCCTCATAAAAGTATCTTTTCTTTCGCATGTTTTACTTCCATCACACTTTGTACTTGTTGTACTGAACATCATTAGAAGGGTATTATCATTTGTTAATAAATCTTGTTAAATAGAATGAAATGATGAAAATGTATTAGTATCGAAGCGTTTCTATTATTTTGTCCAACCCCTGCATTTTTAATATACTTCTTAAAAAATGAAATCAACGAAGTACATACATTAAGGTTTGCAAATTTAAGCAATATTATTTTTGCAATATTTAAGCGAGGCAAAAACAAAAACGCTATCGAAAGTCGTTGTATTATTAGACAGGAAAACAAAATATCGGAACCTCTATGAATGTGATGTGAAACTTGAACAAGTCTCTGATATTTGTTTTTTAACCTCTCTCTGTTACTTCATTTCTTGCAGTTTTTTTTCTACCTGCTTAAATAATTATTTTTATAACTAATTTTTATATTTTTTACACTATTTTTTACGAGGATTTAAAAAATATACATTAATAGCAGTCAGCATGGAAAAACATGTACAAACAGAGTAACTTAAGTACCTCTTTATAGTTGACTTAATTGTTTACTTAATTTTTATTTTGCCTAAAATTTAAACCAAACTTATGATGTTTTGAAAATGTTCTAGTTAACTTCATAAGTATTTGTTTTATTATCAGCATTTTTAATTTTATAATTTCCAGATTTTTGATTTTAAGAAGAAGAAAAAATACATTTTCGTTAAGTATAAAGATATTTGCTAGCCTTTAATAATCATTGTTCACATCTTTTAAGATAAATTAATCAAATAGACATAAAAAAAGCTTAAAAAATAAATAGTGAATTTCTGTGTTCTGATTTGATGAATAAAATGTCATCACTATCTGTAATATTTGACATTGAACTGTATATTTCACAGTCCATAATTTATATTAACAAGATAAGCCGTTCATGTTAATTATTATTTGACTAGACTGAAACTTTTATGCTTGGAGGAATTTATTAGTTAATATTTATTTATTTCTGAGAAGTCTAGACACGGTTAACCATAAACCGATAAAAAATGTAAATAAATGCTCTAATTTGACAGGTTTTTTTTGACAGGGTCTAATTTGACATATTGCTGTTTCGACAAATTAAAAAACATCACTTTAAAAAAAAATAGAAATAATTTAATAATAAGATAGAGAATTTGATGCAATCAAGTGACTGTGAGAAAAATGTTGAGCTGAAATTCGGAGCTATATGTTAATTTTCAGAACAACTTGGAAGAATCAAATTTTCTGAAGAATGGTTTTTAAATCTTTAGAGAAGTCTTTGTTTAGAATCATTTAATAGCATAGATTAGGCATTTTTGGAATAATTCGGAGCTATGGTCTCATGTTTCCTTTCAAGGAAACAGGACCAACAACATTTCTCGTTGATTTTAGAATTGTTTGAAACAAACATTGAATTTTCGGAACAGCTTGGAAGAATCATTTTAAGCAGAGATCTAGGAAAATTTAAAATCTTTTCGAGCCAACATACAATGGAAACTAATGTAACTACTGTTTGCTAATATTAAATTAACTAAAGACGATTATTAATTTGAATTTAATATTATCTAAAAATAAATAAATTGGTTGGAAGTGTGGTATTTAGTTTTAATGCAAACAAGTTAAAAAGTACAATTATGCAAGATAAAATATTTATATAAAATATTTTATTTTCGAAAATATCCAGGTTTATAGGCTTTTAAAAGCAGGTTAAATTATACTAAAATGTTGGGAACCAATTGCAATTTTTGATAATCTGAGGTGATCAGGAGCTCAGAATTTGTAGATTCAAGTTCTGAAGCTTTTGTTGCAATCTGGAGCAGAAATTTTCTTTGATTATAGAGCCATTAAGAGCAACAAGTTTGCGTTATAAGAACTGTTTGGTGCAATGATTTCATATTTTGGAGGCAATCTGTAGCTACAGTTCTCATTAGTTTTAGAGCCAATTTTGAATACTTGAAACTTCCACCAACCAGGGGCTCCGGGATGGGAGGTCGCTGGGACCTACCAAAGATTTTCACTATTCGGCAAATATTGTCTGGCCATTCAGAATACTTATAAAATTTCATATTCTCACTTTTATTTATTTAAAAAAATACAATTGTAATTACTACGCGTTTATTTAAGTTTTTTTAAATAGCTATGAAAAAAAGTATTCTTAAGAATAGTTTAAGGTAGCCATTTCACAATCTTGTCTAGAAATCTAATCCCATCCTTGTCATTGTCAATCCGTCTGTGTCTTGGTGCACTTGTTACCGAATACATGCAAGCCAATTTCATCCGAAGTAGTTCCAGTTTTAAACAAATTAGCTTATAATATTAGTTTTTTTATTTCTTTCATCAAGAAAATTTTCAAGCACAGTATTTTTTTAAACTGTGAACTGGTTATGAATGTATTGTTGAAACAGTTGTTAGTTTAAATCGTCCGGAGAACGAATCATTAAATATTCAATACCTTATAGTAATAAGATAAACTACTATTCTCCACCTGCTATTGAATTTTACCTTACGTACGCAGTCCTCACGATTTCTTGAATTATTGTTGCGGCCCTCGGATTTTTGCAGACCTCTTAAATTTATGCTTTGATTATTTTGTAACAGTTTAGAAAATTCGGATAACATATATTAAACACATGTTTATTCCATCTTATTAGTTTTGAATAGCCAGTAAAAGCACTTTTATTTATTGTTAATGAAATTTTTCTTATAATATTTCGATACTGTAATACTGTTTTCACATTTTCTTTTCTTACTACAAATGTTTCTTCTTCACTATTATATGAAGCGGTTAAAGTAAGAAAAGAATACAAAAGTACTTTTAATTATTATTATGTGAATACATTAAAAACGCCTGCTAGTCGAAATAAAAAGAAAAACAGCAGCGGTCGCCATAGCAACGCATGCAATGACGACGCATGCGCACTGTTTACTATTACTCTTGAACACAGTTGAAAAGTGAGGGGACTCCATCAAATTCAAACCAAGACCCATTTTGTCAATGGGTAAAAAGTATTAAAACAATTAAAAATACCACTAAAACAAATTACAAAAAAACATAATCATAGAGCTTAATTATCCAATAGATACAAGCATTAAATTTTTAATTTTATCAGTCTGTTGTGCTTCCATTTTCTTTATTTCTTTATTCCTATTTTTTTCTTCATTGTTCTTTATTACCAATTTTCTTTATATTTAACAAATAACTATTTTTTGTTATTCCTCTAACTTTTTATCTTGCTGTACTTGAACAGTGTATCATAGTAAATAGACCTTTGTTTGCTTATCGACTTTTTTTAACATTGTAAATTGATATTTTCCTAATCACATCAACTTCATTAAGGACAGGTATTAATACCCTTTTAAATATCAATTTAAATATTTATCTAATTCGTTCAAACTTGAATTTCGTAAGTAAAAAAAAAAAGTTTGTTAAAAAATGAGTTTCTTTCAGTTTCTTTGCGATAAATTTTTTGAAACTCAGTATTAAAATCTTTCACCGGCATATCGTTAATCGCAGTATTTTAACCAGCTTTGGTAAGAAATGCCTTGAATTTTTTAATTTTCTTCAAGAATTTTTATTCTTTCCGACAATAAACTAACACATAAGAATGGACAGACATGAGATCATTTCCATAAGTTGTTACCTTTATGATACTTCCAAAAAGTTGCCATGAGTGTTAACCTTATTAATAAAAATTACTAATCCAATAGAAAAGCTTATAATTACAATTATTTCTCCCATTAAACAATTTCAATCTTTTCTAAGTTTCTTCTCTTTAAGAATTTTGGGAATTTCTTTTCAAAAAATGTTCTTTCAGGTTTTCTTTTTTGTTTATTATTTTACATAATGTAAAACAGAAAATTTTTATTTCACTGTAGGTCTGGCGCATAATTCCTGACTTCAAGCAAATCACAAATGGGAGTAAATCACCATTCCAAACTTGCGCACTAAATCCATTTTTTTTTCTTCTTCTGAGGATCGTTATGAAATATATTTATTTTGGAATACTACTCGTCTTCCTGTGTGGCCATGACAAAGTTCAAGGTTCAGGTGGAATTGTACCAAGAAGAGCGAACGATATTTATCAAAGGGAACAGAAATTTACTGCTGCTCAAAACTCACTCAGAGTTGCCAAACATGCTGGACGAAAACGTGAAAATGATGGAGAAACCTCAAACAGACGATTGTTCGGGTAAGTTGACTGAAAGCCAAATGTTTCCAAGTTCTTAGAAGATGTTCTTAATTATTTTTTTCAAAGTCTTTAAATTTTCTATGTACGAAAATTGTTCAGATAACTTTGCTTCAAATTAAAGCAATGGCTTTAAATATTGTTAAAGACTACATTGTTCCTAAAAGTTAATTTACTGGGAATGTTTTGATAAATGAGCCTTTGTTTTGCACCCTGTTTTGATTATCCTATTTATTTATTTATTTGCACCCCTTCTGTGACTGTTAGTTAACTTCTGTGGTAGTATTTATCACTTTTTAGAAGCGGTGTTAGGAGAAGTTATCCGGGGATAAAGAGAGGGGAAAATGCTTCGAAATAGTCGCATTCGAAGATCATCAAGACACAGGGAAAGATTTCCGAGTTTTCCGAAGTAGCGTGATGAAAAGTTTTTCTTGTGTTTTCAGAAGAGTCATAATGAGAAGTTTGCAAGAAAAGTTTTAAGAAAAGTCGAACAGACGAATTTTCCTGGAGAGTCTTCAGTAAATATTGTTCTGAAGTGTAAAGAGCAGGTACTGATTTACCTCCAAATGATTTTTATTGCGTTGACTTTGATTAACAATACTTTTGCTTGCCGCATAATTCTTTCAGCCCTTATATCATTAAACTTCACCAGATAATAAATAAGCTCACCGCTATAAAAAAAAAATTAAGCCTTGGTTTACAGTTCTTTTATAATTTTCTGCTGGGGGGGCAGAAATGAAGAAATAAGAGGGGAAAAACTACGCCATGAACTTTTTTTAAATTTCCATTTGATGATTGGCTGTTTAAATATACAGAGTGATTATAATTAATTTTTTACTTTTAAATAGATGTAGAAAAAATAAATATTTGCCGAATTTAAAAATTCAAGAAGTGAGGTTAGAAGGAAAAATAATTCGAAATGTTAGCGATATATGGCACTTAACACATTGTTATTAGAAACTGTCACGAATTTTTAAAATTATAACATCTTAATAAAACTGATAAAAATGCATTTAGGAAATTAAACTATCTACGTCGTTCCATCTTAACAGCCTGGCTTCCACGATCACTTCACCTTAATCACTGTAACTTTTGCTTGAGGGGTCATGAGTAATAGTTTTTTTTTTGTTTTTTTTTNTTTTTTTTTTTTTTTTTTTTTTTTTTTTTTTTTTTTTTTTTGTTCAGCTGCACAATTGCAAATTTAGATTAATTGAAAGCACCAAAGCACGGATTGTACAATGTTACGGTTTTTTCATCAAGAGGTAGAAAATGGCGAAAAACATATCGAGCATTTTTTGAGGTAGTCTCATAAACATTACAAGTTATATCTACTGTAATTTTTTTAAAAACTTATTTTGTCATCCTCTTAATTAAAAACTTATTTTTTATTTCTTTCGTTTTGAATAAAATGTAAGCTGACCCGCATCTCGAGTAAACTAAAAAAAAACTATTAAAGTAGTAGTTCGACTTTTCATTGGAAAAGAAAAACTAGTCTTGAAAAGTCTAAGTGTCATTGGTCGCTGAAAGCATTTATATGTATATATATATATATATATATATCCATATATNTGCAAACTCCTCAGTTAAAAAGTACTTCTCTTTTTATCTATCTTCTAGTAAGCCAAAATCGGTATAAAAGAGAATAATTATTTAAAAAAAAAGAAGCAATTTTAACGTAGCTGCTTTAAAATAGAAACCTGAAATTTAATTTATGACAATCTCTTTTCTTTTTACCGTAGCCGCAGAAGTTTGATCTTTAAAAAAACGCAAGTCGTTAAAACCACAAGTTGCCCATAAACTGTTAACATATTCAAGGGAACTTGTAAATCGATCCTTAAATTACGGAATGAATTACTGCTTGTTTTACAGCCTTCTTTCACATAAGGACATGTAAAAATTTGCATCCTAATTTAAGGTTTTCGACCTTCACATCTGAAGCTAATCACTTCTTAGAATTAAGAAAAGGGTAGGATTATTCCTTTCTACCTATTTTTTTTTCTTTATTATCATTAACTATTAAACAAGGATAGAATCTTTTTCAGATTTTTTTAAATTTCTGGTTCTTTGAGCTCATTTAATGTTTTACTGGAGTGGCATTAGTTAAAAATTTCTTACTAGTCATTAAAATGAGAGCACATATGAAAACATTTAAAACACATTTTTTAAAGATATATGTAGAGATAAAATATTGATTTTGAGTGCTCAATTGAATTGTTTCATTTCTAAATCTTATCACTATGGGACACTATTGGGGTTATAAACGGTAATTGAGAAGAACGGTATTCTTAATAACTAAGCTTATATATGACTTTATTACAAACTTATATATGAGCTTATTATAAGCTTATATATGAGCTTATATACTAAGCTTATTATATAATTATACAATCGAACCTTTCTATAGTGATCTGTCTGCGGACCCAGCGATAAATCTACTATAAACAATGGTTTAATGTATCCAAAATCTATGAATTTTTTTTTTAATGTATTGCAGTAGTATTGTTGCAATTATTGATTGCAATAGTACATAATTAGCTTGATAAATTGTTCTCTAACTAAATATGCAAATCTACAACGAATTTTCCTTACAGGTTATTTCTTCCTATGATGAAAATTTTAATCAATACGTTGAATAACTTTGAAAATATTCTCCATATAACGAAAGAGTTTTGCCGCTATAGCGATTTTTATAACGCTTATCTTTCCATTTTTCGCCAATTTTGGAATTTTATTTTTGTCATTTTTGAGAAAAAAAATCTATTACGAGTCGGAATCTCTGTGCAACCAATTCATTCTTCCATTTGTCGTTTTTGGAATGACTTGCATTATTCAATCCAACTAAAATACTTATTTTAAGCACTCCTTTATGATGTGTATTACTCTGTTTTAATTAAAAATTGCAATCATACACTTTTAAACTTACCACATCTTCTGCATTTCTTGTAACATTTACTTAAATACCAGCAAAAAGAAAAGTTGAGTTCTCTAAGAACCAACTACCCATTTCTCAGTTTGTCCAAATATAGGAGAATATAAATCCACTTATATAGATAAACTAAACTCCTTGAAAGAAAAGAAAGGCAAGAATATAAATTGATATTCTTTTTCAAGTTCCAAAAAAAAGCGAATTACGGGAATAACTTTTTATCTCATAATCGTATTTTCAGAAACTAGGACTTAGAGCCGCGATGGCTTAGGGCAGTGGTGCGCAAACTTTTTTCGACTGCGACCCCTTTAGTAGAGAGAAAATTTTTGTCGACCCCTAGAGCTAAATGTTCACAAATAAGATGTATATTTCGCGCATTTCTTTCGTTTCATCGAATAAAAATATCATCAGATTTGACTCATATTAATTTTATTTATAATTTTTAGAAAATACTTTTTGTATAACACAAAAATCAGTAAATTGCCCTTTAATGAGATGTATGTGGCTGCAAGTTTCTAATTATCTCATCGATGTTTGGATGTATGTTGTTGTTAATTCGCATATCATCTTCAGGGTTTAAACGCGAGCGGTATTTTGTTTTTATTGAAACTAGTTTGCTAAATCCAGTTTCACATAAATACGTTGATGCAAATTGTATTAACACTCTGATGGCATTCTTGCATAAAATGGGATATTGTTTTTCCACGGATAGCCAAAATTTTTGGCAAGGCTGAGTCTTAAATTGATTTCGAAGAGTATAATCACTAATTAGATCTATCAATTGCTCTTTCTCACTAATTTGAAGCGTTGAACTGCATATGTCAAAGGAAAATGGATCACGAATCCAACCAAGATCGTTTTCAGGAAAATCCTCGAATCTTCTCGAAAAATTTTTCTTTAACTTTTCAATGTGATTGGAAATGATGTTTTTAAATGTAAATATATCTATATTATTTTCCTTGATAAAATCGTTAAAGCAAGGGAACATGTTGGTGTTGTTTTTATTCAGTTCAGTTTGCCAGAGACTAAACTTATTCTTAAAAGCTTGAATTTTACTGGCTGTAGTTATGATAGTTGAATTCTCACTCTGCAAGCTCAAATTTAAGTCGTTAAGTTTTTCGAAAATATCAACTAAATAGCTCAGCTTCCCTAGCCAAACTTCATTGATATAATAACTTGCCAATCTATGTTTCTTTTCGATTAAAAACATGTACACTTCATTTCTTAAATCAAATATCCGTCGTAGTATTTTCCCACGTGAAAGCCATCTGACTTCGGTGTGTAACAGTAATCTCTCATACGTTGAGCCCATCTCATTGCAAAGTATTGAAAAGAGACGGCTGTTGTGGCTGTTGCATTTAATGTAGTTAATTGAACTAACAGCGTCTTGTAATACGTTGTGCAACTCTTCATCCATATCTTTTGCAACAAGAGCTTGCCGATGAATCATACAGTGATTAAATACCATATGAGGCGCCACCTTCTGAATTAAGCCTCTGAGCCCTTTATTCGAACCTGTTAATGCTGCAGCACCATCAGAAAGAGTGGACAGCATGAAATTGCAATTAAACAGGGAGTGACGGCGCTTCACTCTTTATAAGTACACTGTATGGTATGCAGCATGCAGGGATAATGCATTTCATAGAAATTTGGCGACCCCCAAAAAACTTCTGGCGACCCCTAGTTTGCGCACCACTGGCTTAGGGGATAGAGCATTCGCCTTCCAATGAGCTGAACCGGGTGCGAAGGCTAGTCGATACGAATTCCACATCCGGCTCGCACCGACCACAGTGCTAGCGTGAAATATCGTGAATGGTAGACGGATCATGGATTAGAGTTCTCTTGCCGTCACGCGAACCGTAGGAGGTTCTCGTGGTCTTCCTCTCCGTGTAACGCAAATGCGGGTTAGTTCCATCAAAAAGTCCTCCACGAAGGGAAATTTCTCCCAATATTTGATCCAGGAGTTCTCTTGTTTTCTGGATTGGGTTCAAAATTACAAGGCTACGGAGTTGAACGCTAATAGTCGTAAACGCAAAAATTGGGTCGGTTGTTCAACGACAATTATTTAAAAAAAAAA